TACGCTAAAACAATGATAAAAATTATTTTCTTTTAGGTTCCTTACTTTCCAGATTACGGGCTTCAAAGTATTTTATGGATGAATCAAGTTCTGATGACCTAGATGCTATATACTGAATAACATCGCATATGTTATTCTTCAGCCAGTTTCCTAGAAGAACTAAATATGATGCTTTCTTTTTTGGCCAGGAAAAGCAACAGACAAGGAATACAGGTTACTGATGCCACCACCAACAACGAGCGATAACAACAAAAAAACTTCAACCACATGGTAAACATAACTACCATTCACAAGATGATGTCATAATGCCAAAATTAACTAAACTAATGACAAATAAAAATGGCAAGCAATAGGATATATTGGAGAATATGAAGAAGCCATTTGCTATAAACCTAATTCGGCCTGACCTTGTCTTTCCAAAAGGGCCTGACCGTGGCTGTTGAGCATGCATTGTATATCTGCTTTAGATATTCCCTATGGCAAGAGCAAAGGCCCTTGAGATAAAGGTGCAACCTCCCTCCCCCTCCCAACGTTGGCTCTCCTTAAGGATTAAGCATCTTTCCTTAGGCTAGGAACTGACTGCTGCGCTCACCTGTGACCACCCAGCTCGAAACAACAGACTTGCCTCCTGCTGTGTCCATCAAGTGCTGTGCTGACAGGGCAATCTTGTGACTATTGTGGGAGGGACATTTCAATCATATGTGAAACACCCTGTTTGGGGGTATATAATCACTCTGTGCACCCCACTTCTTCGGTGCCCTTTCTTCCTTTGGGAAGAAAGGCCCCGGGCCATGGTCCTCAGATTTCAGCTCAGAATAAACTCACCCAAATTTTCATTTATAGATTGGTTATGGATTATTTTCATCAACACTAACCAAAGGCAATAATAACTCAAACAGCTTTTCTCCCACAAAAAGGAAATACAGAACTCATGCTAAGCATACTACAACAAGACTAACTCTATTTGATAACCATCAATAAGTAGTTACTGGGAAATTATGGCTATCTGAAGAAATGACAAGACAATCCGAGATGGGCCAAAGGTGTTTAGCTATTCCAAAAGGTAGAAGATAATTTTTGAAAAATAAACTTTAACAGTAACCTCCAAAAAGCTCTAGGTAAGGTAAATCTACTCTTCTTTATACCCTAGCAACTAAGTTGGTGAACTAAGTAACAGCATTGAACCGACCTGAGTTCCAATCCTGACCCTGCTTCTTGCTGGCTGTGAACCTGGCAAGTTACTGAGCCCCTCTCTCTGAGCAAAACAAAGTCAAGCTAATACTCCCCACTGTGCAGGGTGATTTTGTCAGGATTAAATGAGATACATTTGTAGTTAAGTAATGGTACCCCAAGTGTGTTGATGTGTGTCAGCCCAGAGGAGAGTGGCCAGCAGCATGTTCAAGGGCTATTTCTGACCCATCTTATTCTACCTTTTATCAATGACTTGAATATAGACACAGCAGTCATGATTATTAAAGCAGAAGAGACAGCTACTATTTTGGATAACATGAAAAAATCAAGAATCAAGAAGACCTTCAACAAGTAGCAGACATGCTCTGACCTAAAAAAAAGAATTGTAAAGGGGATAAATGTAAGGTCTCACACTTAGGTTCAATAAAACAATTGTGCAATACCTAGACTGGGGGTGGGGGTGTTGATTTTAAAAGAACGTTAAAGTTTTAATTGATTGTCAGCTCAGTATGAGCCAAGAGTGTGATTTACTGCAGAAAAAAAGCGAGCACAATTTTACCCAGTATTAATAATGGTGGTATCCAGCTCAAGAGAATGAGTTCATGGATATTCTTCACTGATCCCTATGTTCCACCCTGGGCACATTTTAGAAAAAACACTGACAAAACAGAGCATTTCCAAAGGAAACTAACCTAAATGATGAAGGGTTTGGAATACAGCCTATTCAAGGAATTGCGGATGTTTAACTTGCAAAAGAGAAAATCTGAGGGAATATGTAAGCTGTCTTCAAATACCTGAGGAGCTTTCATATAGAAAAGGAATTGTGTTTAGTTCTACGTAGCTCTAAACAGCAGAAATAACATCTATGTATAAAAGTTACACGGAACTCCAAATAGAAAAGACCCTTCTGACATGACACTAAAATGGGCTAGCCTGATGGCAACGTACCTCCATCACCAGAGGATTCGAACAGAGATTGGATTCATTTTCAACAAGAATGTATTGATTACCCAGGTCCCAGGCAGTGTGCAAAGCACGGATGGTGACAGTGAGTAAAAAACTGACCTGGTCTCTGCTTTCAAGGAAGGTAAAGTCTAGTGATAGAGGCAAATAATTGCACTAATAAATTTAAAATGACAAACAGAAAACTCTAAGGAAAGGAATTACAGTTCTTCAAGAGCAATAACAAAGGATGCTGACTTGTAGTCTGAGATCCGAACAGGCTTCTCTTGAGTAGCTGAGCAATCCGTGAGTAGGAGGTAAATGGCTGGGAGCAGAGCATTTTGAAAGGAAACAGCATATGCAAAGACCTTGCGGTAAGAGAAACTGGTAAGAGAAACTCCGGTAGGTTCAAGGGCTTGAAAGGCTTACATAACCTGAGCATAGAGCGTCAGGGGGTGATGGAGAGAGGCAGGAGCAGAACTACAAAGGGCCTTAAAGGCCCAGGTGAGGATGTGGTCTTCTCCCAAAAGTAATGGGATACTATTGAGGGAGGGGTTTAACTAGCAGTGGGCAAGGGAAGGAACAAGCAATGTGCAGAATACCACAAGGAGACCCCTTGGGAGCTTCCCGCAGGTGTCCAGACCAGAAATGACAGGAGTTTGGGAAAAGGAGGTGGAAAAGAACATGTGGAGAGGTGGACAGGTTGGAGAGATTTTTAGGATGTTAAAATGACAGAACCCATGTGACCAGTCCAGCAGGTGATCTGGGTATAGTTTAAATAAGCAATGTCCCAAGCCAGATTCTTTGGCCCTAATAACATCCCTCAAAGGACGGGGGGGACAGAACTCAGTGACGAATTTTACTGGGGGCAGAGGATGTGGTGAGAGAGAGGAGGATATAAAGGATGACCCCTCCTGCCCCCTGGCCCCCCCAGGTTTCCAGCCTATATAAGCGGATGGATGGTGATGCCATTCACTGAAATAGGAAATACACGGATTAGGTGGGCTAAGATCATGGGTTAGGATTTGAATAAGTTGAGTCTGAGGCACTTTTTTTTTTTTTAGGAAGATTAGCCCTGAGCTAACATCTGCTGCCAATCCTCCTCTTTTTTGCTGAGGAAGACTGGCCCTGATCTAACATCCATGCCCATCTTCCTCTACTTTATATGTGGGACCCCTGCCATAGCATGGCTTGTGAGGCAGCTTGTTTTTAAATAGGCAGTATGACATATTGATCTGGAATTTAAAGGATAGGTCTGGACGGGGAGTAAAATTTGAGAATCTTTGGCATATAGATAGTAGTCGAAGCTGTGGGCTTAGAAGAGACTGCCTGAGGAGACAATAGAGAGAGCGAAGAGAGCCTGGAAGAATATCTGCATCGAAAACAGGGTAAAGGAGGGTGAGTCTGCAAAACAGGGGTATGAGTAAAAACAGGAGCAAGGCTTCACAGAAGCCATGGGAAGAGCATTTTCCATTAAGGAGGCAATGGGTCAACAAGGTCAAATGCTGTTGAGGCATCAAGTAAGACAAGGAACGAAAAATGTCAGTTAAGTCTACGGACACATTTCAGTGGGATGACAGGGCTAGAAATCATACCACGGTGGGTTGAGGGGTGAGTAGGTGGTAGGGAAATGGGAGACAATAAACGTGGACAACCCTACCAAGATTTCCGGCTGTGAAGTGGGAACAGAAAAGGTGACAGCTGTGGAGATGGAAGGAGAGTTTGGTTCAAGATGGGAGAAGCCTGAATATGTTAGGAGGGAGCCAGTGAATACACAGGAATGGGGTTCGTGACAAGGTGGGAACAGACAGACGCTGAAGCACAGGTGGATTGAGTAGCCTTAGATAAAAAAGAGAGGCTATGGGGGAAAGGAAGAGAAAGAGGCCGAATCAAATGACCTTTAAGGTCTCCTCTCACTCTAGAATCTCATGACTTACAATTTCCTTTTGGAAGGATATTTGCATGTATGCATAAATCTATGCAAACTTATTCAAATATTCCGGTATAAATACACCAGTCAAGCACATCCTTATCCCCTAATGACGCAGTTCATGTCCCCAGGTTTATGACCAGTGTAATCTCTGGGCAAGACCCATCCCTCACAGAGCTTTCGGCTCAACGCACGCTGCAATGTAGCACAGAACCGGTCCTATCTGCCCTCGCCAAACCCACACCGCACCGCGCTCCGAGAGCTAGAGGAGGAAGTAAAATTTAAAACCCTGAAACTATAACATATCCTGCTGCCTTCGAAACGACTGTCATTCATAAAAGAAAACCATCGCCACTCCAAGCGAAAGGCATTCCTGCCTGGTCCGACAGTGACAGGTCCCCCAGATGGTGGGGGTTTGACGCTAAAAGTCATTTGCACCCCCTCCTCCGTCCGCAAGACCTCTTATCGTGAAGAACGAGAAATGGGTTCCTGACGATCCTTCCCACAGCCCTGGCCCCAGTGCAGCAGACGGATCCCCCGCAGACGGATCCCGGAGGCTGCATCTAACAAGCTCTCGCCAGGAGGTGCGGAGAAACCCCCAGAGCCCGTCAGACGGGTCTGGGACGGCCGCGGTCCTGCGACTGCCTCAGGGACGCTAGGAACAAGCCCCCAGGGATAGAGAGGGAGAATCAGGGGAGACGCAGGAGACTCGGGGAGCGAGGGGGTCACCTGCCCTCGAGCTTCCTCAGGGGGATGGAGTTTCTGAGGAGGGCTCATCCCTGCCACCGCTCCCCCTTCTCACCCTCAAGTCCTTCTCTGGCTGGCCGCCCCCTCCACCCTCCATTTGCTCACACTCACTCCCCCGCCCCTGGGACCTCGGAGCGCCCGCGAGCTCGGCGACCCCGCCTCGAGCCGCCGCTCCGGGTCCGGCACTCACCCGGCCCGCCATCTTCGCGGACACGTCCGGCTCCGCGGCTGCAGCTCCGTGCTCGGCAGAGCCCGCCCCCGCCGCGCATGCGCACAGCCGCCGTGAAGCTGCGCGCGCGCCCGCGCCCGGCCGCGTTCCCGGCGCCCCCGCCCCGCAGGGCGCGCGCACGGGCTCGGCGGCCGCCGGGGGCGCGCGGGGCGGTGGCGCCATTTTGGGCGCGAGCAGGGGGGCGGCTGGTGCGGTGACTGCGTTTGCGGAGAGTACGTGTCCGCCGGCCAGTTCCTCGGGGGCTTGCTTTGCGCGTCTCCCCACAGCTGGCCCTTTGTGGCAAGCCCTTTGATGCTTTCATCACTTAGCGCCTTCCTCTCTTTGCCGGCTGCTCTTTCCCCTTTGCTGGCCTTTTAGTGTGATGCTTCCAGACCTGCTGAAACGGGAAGATGTGCAGGAGCGCCCCCCGCGCCGTCCTGGCCCGCCCCCAAGGAACAGGGGCATCCGGGGGCTGCTTCTGAGTTTAAGTCCTGCGTCAATGCAGACTTTTCTCCGTAGGCGGACTTGTTTTCCCAGCTCCTGGAAGTGGTCAACGTTGGCGTTTACACGGAGCTTACGTGTAGCCTCGAAAACTCAGTATTTTCTTCAAATTTAAAAGTGAATTGTGATTATTTCTATATCTTTATTTTATATGTTTTGTATTTTATTATTAACTATACTTATTTATAAAGGTAATTTTTATCTTCAACAGGCTTTGCCATTCCCCAGTGTTGTTTCATTTTAGGCCATACATATATTGAAATTTGAAGAAAAATGCCCTAAATTCGGCCTCTTTTTTTACCTCAATGTTTCCTACCATGCCATTTCCTCGCTGGAATCTCAGAATAGATGGTAATAATAGTAACAGCAGTACCCTCCTGTTACTGTTACATAAGGGAGATTATGTCGAATGGGTTCTTCGACGCTTTTGTTGCCCCCGCTAGTTTATATTTCGCTTCATATTTCCGCAAGACAATAAGAAACAATAGGATTTGTTCTTTCATTTCTCACAGTTAATTAGAAAAAAAGTTTTTTCCAACATGAGGAGAGGAAAGAAAGAATTAGAAGAGCTGGGCATGCTTAGCGATTTAAAATTGAGGACTAATGAAAATCAGTAAGTGACCTGGAGATGGGCCACGGACAGAAGAAAAAAGTCAGGCAAGTACCTGAGAACCAGATTGTGAAAGTTGACATGAGGCGACCCGTGTTAAAAGAGAGCGCGAGCAGCCGCTTCAGAGGAATTGCCTTGAATCTTGGTTTCTTTATTTTCCAAACTAGACCAAACTGTCAACACTCCAAGAAGTAAGGATAAGAATATCCTGTTTGAAGGGACTGAGAAAACTGGGCTTTGCTGATGACCAAATTGCTAACCAATCAATGAAGTATAAAACTAGCCTTACCTCCTCGAGCACCAGTGAACTCTTTCTTCATACAACTTACATCTTCCTCCCTTTTTCCCATAAAACCCCTGAGCCCATCTCCTGTAACCAGAGCATGTTTGAGTTTCTACTTGAATCTGTGTCTCCTGAATAGCATTTCTTGAGACCCCAAATAAATTTTTTGCTTCTCTTACAGTTTATGCCTCATGTTGGTTGTCATTGCGTTAACTAAATCATCAGTGGATCAGAGAGTTTATCAAGAAAGGGAACTGATTGAACTCTGATCTATTAACTTTAAAAGCTATAAAAATAATTAGAATAGACTGGGGACTCAGGAAGCTTAGATTCTTGTCCTTTTCCTTGCTCTGCCACTCACTCACCATGTCCCTTCACTCCTCGGAGCCCTAGTTTCCTTATTTCTAAAGTGAGAGGTATAATTAGATGAACTTAACAGTTGTGTCTTACATTTTTTGATACTTTGAATTTGAATCTATAAATCAAAGAGATTTTGCCCAAATAATTACTGGATCCAGAAGATGACATTGGCTCTCAGTGCAATGATCTGACATTATTTTCAAGGCCAGAGGATAATGCAAACATACTTATCTATGCAACTGCTTTGTTGTCTTGTTTTACTAGGTAAGCTAGATTGCAAGTGAAAACGTCTTCAACCTCTCCAACGAACAAGGAGGAATGTTTATCATCTAGGAAAGATAGGCCTGCTGGAAAGTTTCCACTGTGTCAGCTTGTAAACATATCTACCCATGACAAGCATATCTCTTTGTATCCTCTCACAAGTAGTATAAATTCAGTAGAATCATGTGTACAGCCCTGCAGAATCTACCAAAGAAACTATAGGGCGACATGAGCCCTTGTCCTTATGGTGCTTGGCACTCAGCTGGAGGGGACAGATTCTGAGACATTGCTCCAGGTTGTCATGTGTCTGCACATCCCATCTGTGCCTTGCTCTGATATTCAAGGTCATCTTAGAAACAGCAGAACTGATTCTGCATCACCTCCTGAGCAATCCTTGCGTGATAGTCAATAGACAACAAATATTTTTGCTGCCCCAAATCCATTCCCCCTTTGTCTGGCCACAGCTCCCCCAGTTCCTGCAGCCTTGGAAGCATTGTGAGACAAAGTACCTCTCCCTCCCTGGCCCAAGAGGGAGCACAGAACCCAAAATCGATCCGATGATCTCTCTCTCCCATGCAACTACAATCTTGACTGTCCTGATGAAGAAGGATAGCAAATAGCTAGAGCTGATTTCCTGACACCCTGAAATCCACTAGATCATCCACTAGTTATCTACATCCCTGCAGTTTACTTGGTTTCTGTCTTTGGCAAAATCTGGTTGTCCTTCTTTGTCTTCATGTCTGTGAGTTAGTCACTTTCTTTCCCTTCCTCAAAAAAAAAAATACCTCCCTCAGTTCTTCATTGTCCCTGAAATCCTTTTAATATGCTTTCCTTTTACAGTGAGAAAACACGTAAGACAGCTAACAATGATTTAAATTTGACCTAAAGTGTAAATGGCAAACATCATTTTCTAAGGGCTGGAGGGCTTTTTAGGGGGGCAGGAGGTGGATGAGGTGGGACTAGGGATAGGCTCAAAGAGGAAAGGGGTGCTAGGTACCTGAAAGATGAGGAGAGAACATGATGAAAAGGAGATAGCAGGACCCAGGATAAAGCACAGTGAGGCATGTGGGGAGAGGGGTAAGGGTTTGACCAAGGTCAGCTCTTGCTTAACACAGCTACCCAGTGTGATGGTTAATTTTATGTGTTAACTTGGCTGGGCCACGGTGCCTGACACTTGGATGAATGTTATTCTGGATGTTTCCATAAGGGTACTTCTGGATGAGATTTACAGTAAATCCATAGACTTTGAGTAAAGCAGATTGCTCTCTATAATATATGTGGTCCTCATCTAATTAGGTGAAGGCCTGAATTGCACCAAAGGCTGATCTCCTGGGAGCAAGAGGGGATTCTCCAGCAGACTGCCTTTGGACTTGAACTGCAATTCTTCCCTGAATCTCCAGCTTGCCAACCTCCCCCATTAGATTTTTAAATTCATCAAGCCTGCACAATTGCATGAGTCAATTCCTTAAAATAAATCTCTTCATATATATATATATATATATATATATATATATATATACACATGCATATGCACATCCTATTGCTTCCTGTCAGTGACAAGGAAGCAATTCCAGGTTTTTACATGGTAAAACTGGGTATCACCTGTTGCCCCCTGATAGGTAACCAGCATCTATAGGTGGAGGCCTGATTCAAAGACTTGAAGACTGCATGGACATAATTCTACATTCATATTATGTCCCATTAAACATCACTTAATAAGTGCTCCATTGGAATGAGGCTGAGTTAACTTTTTGGTCACTTAGATGTGTTGGTTGTAACAGTTGTGGTAACAACTTAACTGGTGGAAAAATAAATTTCTTCTGTGTTTTGAGGAGTGAGAGCAATATTAAATTACATAAAAGTGAACTGATTCCCTGGCATCCAGCTTATTTAACAAAAAAGTGCAGCCTTTTGGTGATTTCCACGTTAACCAAAGGAAAACCACCTTTAAGTCTGTGGAAACTCTAGGGTTAAACAATGGCGCTGGGGACAGAGAGGGGTGTTCAGTCCCTTCAAGGCGTGGGTTTCAAGATCTTTCAGCAGGACTGCAGGCAGGTGTTTTAAGGAACAGTGCTGTGCCGGGAATTCGCCACTGCATGTAAATATCAGAGGGCGTCCTCCAGTGGCTGTGTGGTGTGTGTGTGTGTGTGTGTGTGTGACAAGGACCTGCACAGCCCCTCTTGCAGAAGATGTTGTTGTGAAGCAGACAAAGGTGCTCTTCATAGGCCCTTTTATACGTTTCCCTCTGCAACTCCTCCTCTCTTTCCCAAGTTTTTTGGGTTTTTTTAATATTTTAAACATTTTTTCATTCTTTTTCTTTTTTTTTTTGAGGAAGATCAGCCCTGAGCTAACTGCTCCTCCTCATTTTGCTGAGGAATACTGGCCCTGAGCTAACATCCGTGCCCATCTTCCTCTACTTTCTATGTGGGACGCCTACCACAGCATGGCGTGCCAAGTGGTGCCATGTCCGCACCCGGGATCCAGGCCAGAGAACCCCAGGCCACCGAAGAGGAACGTGCGAACTTAATCACTGCGCCGCTGGGCCGGCCCTCTCGTCCCTAAGTTCTTTCAGCATTAGTTACAGTCTATTACTCTTCCCAGGAGTATATGAAATTTAAGAGAATATTGCCAAGAAGAGCAATGTCTAGCCCGAGGAAACAAACCTCTAATGATGACATTTCAGAGACTGTGACATCTCTCTGGGGAACTGTGCGTGGGTAGCAGTCTTTATTCCTGCCCCTCCGATCATGACCCCCAGGCCAGCCACCCACGCCCTAAGCCCAGGCTTTCAGGGAGCCTTGTGAAAACTTCATTTCACAGCCTCATCATAGCCAGTTTTAGGAAGATGGAATTGCCATCTGTTTGTTTTCTGTCAGAGAAATCTATTTCCCAAAATGATGCATAAGGCTAGAGAATGGAGCAAAATGGAGAAAGGATGTGGAATTTTAAAGGAAAGGAAGACCAGCTGATGCAATGCAGCATTCTAGCCGTAGTCAGGTGTGTTTTTCTTTTTTCTTTCTTTTTTTTTTTTTTTTTTTTTTTTGATGAATATGTCTTTTCTCTTTGGAGGATCAAGGACAAACCGCTATACCCACAAAAATCAATTCATTCTGGAAAGTCTGAGTGGGCAGGAAAGATGATAGAATCCTCCATGGAAAGGAACAAACGTTGCTACAGAAACCAGATGATCCTTTAGTGCGAGCCCCAATGCACTTGCCAGGCTGCTTAACCCTCGCATGTTAACATTGTGGGTCCAGAGAGCTGCCTGCTCTTTGAAAAGAGATTATTCACATACGGGTCTGATGAGCTTTTGTGCATCTTGAGAGGAGGAAGTCAGTCTCCTGGAGGGGGCTGAGTTGCCTAGAAACTTAAGACACTAGAGGCCCACAAAGCACAGCTGAGATGACTATATTGGCTACCTGTTCTCTGGGCGGGCTTCTGAGAAAAAAGTGAGGGTGTGTCCTAAGGTTTCTCCTAAGGAAGAGTTTGCTGGAGGGCTGCGTTTAGGGCAAGGAATACATACAGCAGGGCTTTCTAAGAGAGGGAGAGGACATCTCTGGAGCAGAAGTGTAACCAGAATAGAGGGGCAAGTTTCGTGATACTTGGGGAAAGGCAGTCTGGGAATACCGTGTGACATTTAAACTCTCTAAACTGAAATGTTTTCGCGTGGGAATTAGATGAGATAATTATTGTAGAGTACCTAATACATTCAGCACCAGACCCAGCAACTAAACAGCAGATGCTGACTACACTACCGAGAATACTCTGACTAATGCTAGTCACACGATTAACAATTTTAAAGTCTAATTCAGAGATGGGGAGCCATCGCCAAATAAAATGTTTCTCAGGGTGAAATTCTCTCTCTGCTTCTCTCAAGAGCACTTTGTACTTTCCACGCTGTACAAATAACATTATATTGGCAAGAAGTGTTTTCTATGAAGAAAAAGTCCCCGCTTAATCAATATCTTCATAAGCAATTTGTGTTTATTGTCATCACAGTTTGCACTTGATAAACTTCCCCTGAGCAGCTATCATGATTTCTACTAACCCTCCTTCCTAATTGCCAGAGTTTTGTATTTTTTAAAAATAACTTGAGTTTTGCATTATAAAATTAGTATAACATTTTCTCTCAATCACTTAAAAAAAAATCACAACCCTACCTCTTGAACACAATCACTAGTGAGTTAGGTCTATTTTCTTCTAGCCTCCCCCCATACATTCTTCACGCATATATGAAACCTCTGTATGTATAAAACATATATGTAATATATATATAAAAATATGTTTGTATATGTATGTATCTATATGGTTGTAATCCTTTAGCAAGTGAGCGCTGTATGGGCAAGGACTCTGTTTTATTCACAGGCATGATGCAGATCTTGTGAAAATAATGCATATTCTCAGGTTGTGAGAGGTGGAGGGACAAAGCTCTATTATTATCAGCCCAAATATTCCTTCCATGGGTACATACAATGGTAGGTATACAATCTTATCTTTGCTATTTTACCTTTTTTCAGGTTATGATGACTCCATTGAAACTCACAAGCTTCATAGTTGCTGGCAAAACAACTTTACATCTTTGTCTTGGAAGTCAGCAGGACACGAATAGATCACTTATAGTACATGAAATAAAAATACTAGTAAACATTTGGGAAAAAATAACAAGTAATCAAATAAACGAAAATTAAACTAACATGAGGCACCTCTTTTTTTTTTGGTTATCAAATTTGTAAGCAAAACAAAACAGTAAAAACCCTCTTTTTAAAAAGAGCTTACCAATTGAGGAAATAAGCATGACTTTCACTTGGTTGATGGGAATGTAAATTTGTATAATCTACTCAGAAAACAATTTGTCAATGTAATGTGTACCAAGAGCCTCAAAAATCTTCATGTTTTGACCCAGTGATTCCACTTTCAGAATTCTTTTCTAAAAAAATAGCAAGGAATGCAGGGGAGCAAAAAAAAAAAGATGTTCACTGCAACATTATTCATAACAGAAAAACTTAATGTAAATATTGAACTACATTAAGATGATTAAATAAATCAGGGTATATCCACATGATGGAATATCACACAGGTATCAAAAACGTTTAAGAAATATGTTAAAGACTGTGAAAAATGTTCAAATTAAGATGTTAAGTGGAAAAAGACAAAATTGTATGTATTCGTAATCTGAACTATGTAAAAACTGCATGGAAAAATGACTGGAAAGAAATAAACCAAAATGCTAACAGTGATTGCCTCTGGATGATAAGACGATGAGTGGTTTTTCTTTTCTCCTTCTTTTCTTCTCTTTCTTTCTGGTAGGGCGTGCCTTTGTTTTCATTATACTTTAAAAAATGACTACGTATAATTTTTTATAGTCAGAAAAAATTACTTTAAAGAAGTCATGTGGAACAACCTCTCACATGTACTTGTATTTACCCTCATATATACAATGTGGATAGGAAAGTATTTAGTTAAAGGATTAAGGCGTCAGACAGTCCTAGGCTTGAATCTCTGCTCGGCTACTTAATTTTCCTCTTTGTAAAATGGGAACGATAATAGTTTCTAACTCACGGGGCGTTATGGTCATGCAGGTGAAGTCCTTGACATATTTCCTGGCGTATATTACGCGTTCAACAGACGTTAGTTTTTTTTTATTATTCACTATTATGTACGGTTATGTACCACTTACAAGCGTTTGTAACCTTTTTAGTTAACCAAGTTGGCGTTTAAGCGGCGGAGTTATTGAGAGCATTTCTCAGGAAGTGAGGACTGTGGTTCTGAGACGTCTGAACGAAGGTGCAGGTGGCTAGTATTTTCCCCAACTGTTGAAAATCTGTTTGGAAGCAGGGCGGCAGCCTAGCTTCAGACTGAATAGGAAACCTTCCGTATGCCTAATTTCGGTGCCGGTGTCTGGGTATTTCCTACACTGAACACCGCCCAAACTAGTTTCTACTTTTAGCTCAACCGCGGCAAATTTCTTTAAATATCTCTCTGAACTTGGCCCTGCCCACAGGTCCCCACCCGGTTGGCCCGAATGCTCCCGGGGTTAGTTGAATCTAGGGGATTTTTCCCAGTTGATTGGCGGAGTAAATCGGAAATCCTTCTGCTCTTTTGATTGGTCGCGCGCCGTATTGGGGCTGGGCACGTGGGCGTGTCTCGCCGGGACGCGGTGAGCTGTCATTGGAAGATGCACCCGGCATTTCCAGAGCTTCGTGCCGTCGCCTAGGTCGCCAGGGGCGGGCCTCCTCCCTCCCTGGCTGTTATTGTCCTGTGCATTGGCCAGGCCTGTCGTCACTCACGAGACTTCGAGCTCATTGGCACAAAAGCTCCAAGAGGCGGTGGGTGATTGGTTGGTTGCTGTTCCCGCCCCCGCGTCTGTCGCCATTTTGCGGAGAGACGCCGAAATCCTAAAGGCAGAGGTGTTGGGACCCGTGCTCTGTTTGGGGACAGGTGAGTGGCGGGATGGGGAGGAGAGGTGGCGGCACCCCAGGCCTGGCTGGGTTTCCGCACTGCTGGCGGGCGGGAAGCGAGAGAGCAGCGGGTGGCCTGCGGAAAGCGGCTGGGCTCCCTGTCCCTTCTCCGCCCTCTGCGGGGCGGGGGCTGCGGGGAACCGAGAGAGGCTTGGCGCGTCCGCCGCGGGGCCCTCCGCTGTCCCGAGGGTCCGCAGGGCGAGGGGAAGCGGCCGGGCAGAAGGGGCGCTCGGAGGCCTTCCCCGAGGGCTCTGCGTGCGTGCTTGCCCGCCGCGCACGCCCTCCTGACCACCCGCTCTCGTTGGTGCCCCGGAGGTCTCACCGCCGCGTCTCCCCGACGGCCGGCTGGTGCTGGCGGCGGGGAGGGTGGGCGTCCGAAGAGGCGTCGGGCTCGGCGGCGGCGTTTTCCAGGGGTCTCCAGCGGCGCAGCGGTGTCTGGGCGCCTCTGGCCAAGGAGTAGGAAGAAGAGGGAAAGAGAAGCGGGAGGAGAACCTGGGAGGCGTACAGTGTGTGTTGGGAGGGGCGATCACACGAGTGTTTGCCTCGAAGGACATCTCAGTGTGAAGTACCTTCCCTCCCCCAGCACGTTCCTTACGATTTTTCTCATCTGTGAGATTTGTGTCTTTTGGGAAACAAAGACAAGGAATCTCTAGTTTTGTCGCCCAGCAGGATTTTGAGTGCTGCCCTGCACTGGACTTGTATATACTTTCTGTACGGACCTTCTGTGAATGATGAAAGCATTCATCATTCTTTGGTTGTAGCAGTTCACCTGTATCTCCTTTATGTGCGGGATAAATGCTCTGCCCCTTTTCTCTGGCCGTAGAATGGAATGCTGTGTGCTTGGACATCGTCCATGATGTTAAACTACTGTGGGAAACCGTTAAATTCCAGAGGTGAGGCCTCTGGAATTTGGTGACACCCTCTCTAAGGTCTCTAGGGTGTGGATGAATGGGAGATGGGCTGTCCTTGTTGCATCTTCCCCCTGCTCTGCCCAGGAGTAAAGTTTTCCTTTGGTTAGCAGTTTAAAAGGAAAATCGTAGTCTTTGGAACAAGGATTTTTTTTTGTTGCTGTTTGAAGAATCTTTATAGACTTCCAGGAGCTTGGTTAGAGGTGTAGACACAGTACTGCTTTTAAGTCTTTAATTAGAATGTGAAGCTCACACTTCAAACAGGCTGATCTGTTAAAAGAAAAGACTGTAAGTTTCTGCAAAGCTAGTCTGTCTCTACTGTTGCCTTCCTTTATAGAATCTATCATGCGCTCTACTGAAAAATAAAATATTGAACATTTATGCTGTTAGAAGTCAGTATAGTGATTGCCTTTTGGGGGGTAATGCTGGGAGGGGGCACGAGGAGTTCTGAGCGGCTGGTAATCATCTTTTTTTGATTTGGTTCATGACATTTCATTGAACTGTACAGTTGCCATGTATGTTTATATCTGTATGTAAATTACATTTCAATAAAAAGTTAAAAAAATGGATTGAGTGTAAGGTGATGGTCAACACTGGATTGCTGTGGTATTTCCTCACCTCTTTGCCTGGTCACTTTCTCGGTTAGCGCTGCAGTTTCTCAACACCGTATTTCCTCACCTCTGAAGTTTTTTAGGTTACCAATCTGGCTCTTGGTACTGTCTGCTAGCCAAAGGCAGCTACTAAATTTCTAAGAGATAATTGATACTTCATTTGCCTTAAGGACTTTTCTTTACATTGTGTAAAATAAACTGGATTTCTGCTTTGTAAGTTCTCCTTTCAAGAGTTTAAATGTACTTGTTGTGGCATTGCTTCTATACTTAAGGTGATTAAAGGCTGCCACCATAGTGGTAGCACTGAGACTGTGTTTCCACATATCCCACTTGGATGCTGCAGTGGAAAAGAGAATTTTCTGGCAAGGCATCAGAAGGCCTAGTTGAGTTTCTCTTTGAAAACAAGACGCACTGCTCCTTATTGACCAAACTAAAAATTGTTTAAATTTTATTAGGGAGCCATGTCTAATGGAGACATATTTTATGTATGTTGTTTCTATATTTCTGCAAAGAACAGTTACTTGACTTGCCTTTCTTTTCATTCAGGTAACAGTTACAATGGGGAACGTTTTTGAAAAACTGTTTAAAAGTCTATTTGGGAAAAAAGAGATGCGGATTCTTATGGTGGGTTTGGATGCAGCTGGAAAAACCACCATCTTGTATAAACTGAAGCTGGGAGAGATTGTGACTACCATCCCTACAATAGGTATGTTAACGACCTGTGACAAGACCAGTTTACAGTTTAGTCTCTTATACTTTTACATGTTTCTTATTGACTATTTCTTTTTGAAAATCTTATCCATCCCAAGAAGATAAACTTTCTGAGGCCCAAACCAGGTCATATATACGTTCCTGGTTGCTCCCTGGCATCTCTAGTATATTGCCAGGTTTACAGGGGCGTCATTCCAACGCATTTGGGTTAAGGAAATTTAATGCTATCTGCTTGGCGAAAAAGAAAACGGTAATGATTAAAAATAGTGCGGGCAGTTATGCCCTCCGTTCCTCTCCATGAGCGCATGTCCCAGCCTGAGCCAGGGCTGGGAGCTGGGGACCTGCTGCTGCCTCCTCAGCCGGTCTTCATTCCAGCTGGCCTCCTAAGTGGAAGCGTCTCTCCACACCGAGTGTGCTCCTAGTGGTGAAAGATGCAGTGTGGATTTTTTCTTCACTCTGGCTCAAGCCAACTATTCGAGCCCGTGTCCAGCTGCGGAGTCTGCTTTGTTCCACTGCTGAAGGACAGTCTGGCAGCCTAGTTATTCCTGTGAACCAGCTCTGTGTTTTTGGGCTCGTGAAGGGTTTTGCAAAGGCAGTTTTGGTTTTTTTTGTTGTTGTTGTTAAGATTTTATTTTTTCCTTTTTCTCCCCAAAGCCCCCCAGTACATAGTTGTATATTCTTTGTTGTGGGTCCTTCTAGTTGTGGCATGTGGGACGCTGCCTCAGCGTGGTTTGATGAGCAGTGCCATGTCTGCACCCAAGATTCGAACCAACGAAACACTGGGCCGCCTGCAGCGGAGCGCGCGAACTTAACCACTTGGCCATGGGGCCAGCCCCCAAAGGCAGTTTTGACAGAACTTAAATCTTTGCCTTGTGAACCCCTCTAGATGCAAAGTCCTGAGTGCGAATAGGCTCCACCGGATGGCGTGGGAACAGCAGTGGTGTTCTGAATGTTGGGTGAGGCACAGGAACCAAATGATCAACTTGCAACGTGGGCAGTAGCTTCAGAGATTGCAACATTTGAAGGAGGAGGAAACCAGATGGAGAAAATGTTCATACCCACAATTTAAAAAAATGTTATTAGTCCAAAATGAAAATAGCATAATTGCTTGGTTTTCTCCAATTATAAAAATAATTCCTGCTTCCATAATGTCATACATACAGAAAAACATAAACAAGTGTGAAAAACACTCTACTGTTAAGATTTTGATGAATATGTTTGTAAAATCATATGCGTGCTGTTTTCCAACTTACTGTGCGTTAGACAATATGTTTGGATCTCTGTGTCATTTCCCCTCTCTGGAATGCTTTCCTGTCTTCTTCCTTAGCCCCCTCCCCCCTTTATGTAGCTAATGCCAGCTCATTCTTTTGGTCTCAGTTTAAACATTATTTCTCAGGGACACCTTTCCTGACCCGTTGGCCTGGTTTTCCCCTGTTATAAGTTGCCATAGCAACTTGAACTTCTTGGTAACTGTCAACACATTTATCATTGCTTGCTCACTGTTTCTCTTCCTCCCCACAGCTTAAATAAGAGGAGGAATCATGTCTGTCTTGTTCACCACTGTCCCAAAGTGCCTAGCAAAACGCCTGGCCCATAGTAGATGTTCAGGAAATATTTGGTGAATGAATTTGCGTAAGGATCTTGTGGTGGATTGTTAAGCTAATGACCCCCAGTGAATCATGCCCCTCAGTAGCCACACCCTGTGCAGTCCCCTGCCACAGCAGTGCTGAGCTTGGCCACGTGACTTGCTTTGGCCAAGGGGACATCGGCAAATGTAATTCAGAGATTCGATAAGCGCTTGTGCCTTGGGGCTTGCCCTTTTGCAACACTGATACCACCATATGAGGAAGCTCAGTGCTTGAGAGAAGAACACCACCTGGAGAGAGAGAGGCCCGGCCCAGCCACTGGAGTCAGCAGCTGAATGCAGCTGCAAGAGGAAGCCCAGGCGCCTAGAGAATTGTGTGTGTGGGGAATCGCTGTTCGAACCTACTAAGTTTTGGGGCTTAAATAATAACTGATACAGATCAACACCAAACTTTAGTAACTGATGGTATTCCATTATGTGGCTGTATTTTTAACAAATCTCCAGTGATGGATGGTTAAGTTATTTCGGTGGTTCTTTGTGAACGATGCTGAAGTGAGCATTTTTAATGTTTTTACAAACGTGTACTTTATCTCCTTGCAGTGATCCCTGGAGGAGAGATTGGTATGTTAAAACTAATGTACGTTGCCAAACTGCTCTCCAAAAAGGTTGTGTCACCAACTATAAAAAGTGTTCATTTCTCTGGGGGATTTGCCAATCTGAAAAGGAAAAAACACTGACTTCTATTGGGATTTCTTTTTCTTTCTTTCTTTCTTTCTTTTTTTGGTGAGGAAGATTTGCCCTGAGCTAACATCCATTGCCAGTTCTCCTCTTTTTTTGCTTGAAGAAGATTAGCCCTGAGCTAACATCTGTGCCAATCCTTCTCTGTTTTAGTGTGTGTGTGTGTGTGTATATGGGATGCCTCCACAGCATGGCTGATGAGTGGGATAGGTCCACACCCAGGATCCAAACCCTTGAACCCGAGAAGCAGAGTGCATGGAACTTTAACCACTCAGCCATGGGGCTGGCTGGGATTTCTTTTATTATTAGTGAATATATTCAAATGTTCCATTGGCCATTTGTATTTGTTCTTCTGTGACTTTTTTTTTTTTTTTTGGTGTGCAAGATTCACCCTGAGCTAACATCTGTTGCCAATCTTCTTCGTTTTGCTTGAGGAAGATCTGCCCTGAGCTAACATCTGTGCCAGTGTTCCTCTTTGTATGTGGGTCGCAGCCACAGCATAGCTGCTGACAAGAGGTGTAGGTCTTTGCCCAGTAACCAAACCCAGGTCACCATTATCTGTCTCAAAGGACATTGTGGGTCAGGAACAACTCTTGTCACGTGTTGTTTCCTGGCTGATTGTCTTTCAACCTTGTTTTTCTGTGTTTTGCTACATAGAAATTAAAAATTATTAGTAGCCAAATTTATTAGTTTTTTTCTTTTTTTAGTTTTGGTATCATTTTGAGAATGGTCTTCCCTACTGCACGATCATAAAAGTATTCACCAATATTTTCTTCTGCTAATTTTATGGGTTATTTTTATTTCATTTTTAAAACATTTAAATATTTTATCCATTTGAAGTTTCTTTTTCTCTGAGTCAGGCAGGGATTTAGCTATATTTTTCAGATGAGTAGGGGCCAGTGCTGTCCAATAGAACTTTCTGCAGTGACGGGAATATTCTGTCTGTGCTGTCCAGTGTGGTAGCCATTAGCCACAGGTGGCTGTTAGCACTTAAAATGTGGCTAGTGTGATTGAAGAGCTGAGCTGCTAATTTTATTTAACTTTAGTTAAATCCAAATAGCCATGTATGTATTGGACATGTGCAGGGGTAGACATTTGTCCAGTGCCATTTATTTACTTTATGCCAGCGCCCTACTTTGTCATATGCTAAATTCTTATGGGTATGTGTGTCTCTTTCTGGACAACTCCCTGTTGTATTCATTTGTATTCAATTACTTCAGACATTACTAGGGTTTGATAATATCTTTAAAAATAATCTGTTATTCATTTTCAGAGATTTCATGGTTATGCCTACTTGCTTATTTTTCCAGGTTAAATTTAAGGTCATTTTGCTAAGTTTCCTGTCTCTCCCTCACCTTCCCCCATCACTTTAGGATTGGAATGGCATTGAATTTATGAAAGTATACATTTATACATTTAGCAAGAATTTAGATTGCTGCCCTGTTGTGAGTGTCCTCCACTAAAACAAGGCATGACTCAAAGCGAGCTTGGAAAGTGAGCAGGCCCAGATTGTGGTGGGCCTTGACAGTCATGTTTGGGATTTGGGGGTGGGAAGCAAGGAGAGAGTCTTCTTTTTTCCCCCCCTTATTTTTAATGTTTCAATCAAACATAAATGTGTAGAGAAGTGATATGACCACATTGTGTGTTTTTGCTAACTTTGATTAGAAAACGGTGAATGGATGGAGAGTGAAAGAGTGGCTTATAGGCAGATAAGTTAGGCTGTTTGAGTAATTGGGGCTAGAAATGATGGTTTCTTAGGTTAGGGTGACTTAAATATTTAGGAGGTTGAACTGATCAGATTTGGTAATGAGGTTTTTGGGGGTGAGAGAGTCGAAGTGTCAGGGATGCCTCCCACATTTCCAGCTTGTGGAAGGAAGTCAATGTAGGGGTGACTAGGAGAGGAGCAGGCTGAAGGGTTGAAGGAGCAGGTTGAAAACTTTAAGTTCAGTTTTTCACATCCTGCCTTAATGGAGCCTTTGAGACATCTAACCAAAGATGTTGGCTAGAAGGTCGCGTTATGAACCTGAAGCTCAGAAGAGAGATCTGGGTTGGGGTAATGTGAATGTTACCAAACCAGGTTCTCTTTGCCCGCCACACGATTATGCCAATCGCCAAGATGACAAGTTTGCAAAGGGAAAGGATTTAATCACAAGGTGGCCAGGCAAGAAGGTGGGAGAATCAATCTCAGATCCGCCTCCTTGAAAATGGGGACTGGGATATTTATAGGATAAGGGGGCGGGGCGGTCTGAAGTGTGGGAACAGATGATTGGAGGTAAGGAGAAGTGAGGTAACTGATGATCTGTGCACATGCAGTTAAGCTTCATGCCTCTTCAAGGATGCGTGTTCACAAAATGGCAGTGTTACCAAGGAGTTTTTAGCTCCTTGATGTCAAAAAGGTCACTTGTCAAGCACTTGCACAGGCCCGGTTGATGAGTTGGTGGTCTCAACCAGCCTAAACTGGACAAGGAGTCAACTCTCAGTTCCTGAAAAACTCAAGTATTCCACTCGTTACCATGGTGACCCAAGCGTCAGAGATGTTATCTATAGGGCGGGTTTTAGTAATGCATTATCTAACTACTTTTGTAAACAAATAAGTATAGTTAAAGCAAGTTGGCCCCCGGTTTCATAAATTTGAGAGTTGTTGGCACAAAGAAGGTAATGAAGCCCTAGGAGTGAGGGAGTGTGGAAAGAGGAGAATGGATGGGGCAGGACAGTGTCGTGGGAACTCCATGATTTAAGGATGGATTAAATGTGGCTGAGCTCACTGAGGAGACTGGGCAGCTGCAGCCATAGAAATAGAAGGGAAATGGGAAGCCCAGGAAGAGTTTCTAGGAGGGAGTCAGCAGTAGTGTCAAAATCAAATTAAATTACAAAAGATAAAGATAAAATGAAATTACATAAGAACTGAGGAGCATGGGTTGGATTCATTGACATGGTGATCACTGCGGACCTTGGCGGACCAGCTACAACTGGTGAAGCGGAACTACAGTGCTGTTTGTTGGGCGAGAGGTGGCGAAGGAGGCACAGTGAATGGAGCTGAAGTCTTAGAGAAGTTTGACTTTAAAAGGGGAAATAGAGGATGGTAGCAGGTGAAGAAGTGGAGTCAAGGAAGAGTTTTTTGTGAAAGATGTAAAAGACAAGCATGCTGAGAAGAGCAGTTTGGAGATTTCAGTTAGGGGAGAGAATAGCAATAGTAAAAGATTCCAGACAGTGTGGGTGGATTGCATCCGGCACACAGGTGGATGGAATCAGCCTTAGACAGTTGTCCTCTTCTGTTCCAAGAGGGAGGGAGAAAAGTGTGGGTGAAGATGTAGAGTGGTTTCCACATTTTGTGGTGGGAAGTGGGGAGTCGGTCCCATTAATGGCTTCTGTTTGCTCTGACGTGTGCTGTAAGATTTGAGAGAGAGGGGAGGTGTGAGGTTGCAGACTGGAGAGAGTAGAGAAGGTTTGAGACATCTGTCATGACCAATGGAAGAGCAAGCTGACTGCCATATTTTGTTTTGTAAGCTGTAGATCTTTGTGAATTAAAAGGACTGTCCAAGGACCCACAACTAATAATATACAACTCTGTACCGGGGGCCTTTGGGGAGAAAAGGGAAAAAATAAAATCTTTAAAAAAAAAAAAAATAAAAGTACTGTCCAAATGTTAGCTGACATTATTTTGAATTCTTCAACCAGCGAAAGTCTTAAAAGTTTTCTCCATCTTCTCAATTTAGGTTTCAATGTGGAGACAGTAGAGTATAAAAACATCAGCTTCACAGTCTGGGATGTCGGTGGCCAGGACAAAATCAGACCTTTGTGGCGACATTATTTCCAGAACACCCAAGGTAAAGGTTATCCTGTCTATATAGCCTTGAAACTGTTTATATTAAATGCATCTAAAGATGGATGCTCGAAGCAAAACCTTGTAGTGCTCTGCTTTATGTGGATGTCAGTCATTCCTTCTCTTCTGATGACTCACTCTTACTGGGGAGCTTTCTTTTTGAGAGATGGTCCCTGCCTTTCTAGAGAAAGTACTTGGACTTGAATGTCCTACATAGGAAATTTCTTTTAATCCAAAATAGTTACAAAATAGTTATCCTGATGAGTTTTGTCTTTTGGTTAATTGAGAGTTGCATGTGCCTTAGATGAAGTACAGTTTTTGAAGAATTTGAATTCAGTAAACTTTTTTAAACCTGTTTAGAATATCTAAAAATCATGCCTTTGGGGCCGGCCCCGTTGCCGAGTGGTTAAGTTCGCCTGCTCCGCTTCAGTGGCCCAGGGTTTCACTGGTTCAGATCCTGGGCGCGGACATGACACCGCTCATCAGGCCATGCTGAGGAGGTGTCCCACATGCTGCAGCTAGAAGGACCCAAGACTAGGATATACAACTATGTGCTGGGGGGATTTGGGGAGAAAAAGCAGGGGGAAAAAAAAGATTGGCAACAGTTGTTAGCTCAGGTGCCAATCTTTAAAAAATAAAAAATAAAAAGAAATGAACAGGGATGGCTGGAACCCCAAATTCCAGCTTCTTATGTGGCCACAGTCCCTCCCTGCTGCCCTACTATTCTACAAGTACATGAATAGGCCTGAATGTCCCACATCGTTACCTTAGTTCCTTATCATTGGTTTCTTAAAAGTTGGGGTTTTAGTGTTTCCCACTTCCCTATCAATCTCAGTTCTTTTCATTGATTCTATTTTGGATAAGTGATACCTTACAGAATATTGCCTATCAAAATATCTGTAAACTGTTCACATAGTTTTTACACCCTGATTCTCATGTAAAATCATAACCATATGGCATCTGTGTACTCATTTTAGAATTTATTTGGAGTCTTTTTTTTTTTTTAAAGATTGGCACCTGAGCTAACATCTGTTGCCAATCTTCTTTTTTTCTTTCCTCCTTCTTCTCCCCAAAGCCCCCCAGTACATCGTTGTATATTCTAGTTGTAGGTCCTTCTGGTTGTGGCATGTAGGATGCCGCCTCAGCATGGTTTGATGAGCGGTGCCATGTCTGCACCCAGGATCCAAACGGGCAAAACCCTGGGCCGCTGAAGCGGAGCATGCGAACTTAACCACTCAGCCACGGGGCCGGCCCCTGGAGTCTTTTAATTTTGAAGATTCTACTACTGATGGTGTTTTCATTGCATGTGTTTCATAGTAAACACATATTTATCAGTCCTTTCAGACCAAATACCCAAGTCGACTGTCCCTTTATAAATATATATATACTTTTTTTTTTTTTTTTTAAGATTTTATTTTTCCTTTTTCTCCCCAAAGCCCCCTGGTACATAGTTGCATATTTTTAGTTGTGGGTCCTTCTAGTTGTGGCATGTGGGATGCCGCCTCAGCATGACCTGATGAGCATGATCCCAACCAGCAAAATCCCAGGCTGCTGAAGAGGAGCGCGTGAACTTAACCCCTCAGCCACGGGGCGGCCCCTGTCCTTTTATATTTTATATCATTGTTTTAGCTATTACCTCTGGCACTTAACTCTATTTGGAGTTATTTTCTTAGCCTATAGATTTTAGAGTGTCTTTCCTCAAAATAGTATGTTTATCTTTTTTTTTCACTTTTGTTAGTGGAAAATTTTAAACATTTACGAAAAGAGAGAGGATACATAAGCAAGCCCCGTGTGCCCATTGCCCAGCTTCAACAGTTAACTAACAATTTGCCCAGAGTATGTTATAGCAATTCCAGGCATGATGCCTGTTATTCATATATCCTTCAGTATTGATTTCAAACTGATAAAGTCTTTTTTTTTTTTTAACATAATCTACATGCCATTATCACACCTCCAAAATTAATACTAATTCTTTAGTATCTAGTACCCAGGCCTTATTCAAGTTGTATCAGGTATGTCCTCTCCATGTTTGGTGTGTGCATCAGGAATCAGAGTTCCCACAATGCATTTCATTGATAAGCTGCTTTGGTCTCTTATTCTATAGCAGGCAACCCCTCCCTTTTCTTCTGTGCCATCTTTTAGATGTTTGTCCCACATTCTGGATTTGGCTGATTATTGTGGTGTCATTTAACTTGTTTATCTATGGATATCCTGCAAAATGGTAGTTTATCCTAGAGGCTTGATTAAATTCTGGTTCATTTTCTGGGCAAGAATGCTTCATAAGTGATGCTAAGTACTTCCTGTTGTATCACATTTAACACAGAAGTTTGGTGGTCACACTTTCATGATGCTAAGTGGGTTCAGATGATATCAGCCTAATTCCCCCGAAATAAAGTTCCCCGTTAACCTTTCACCTAATGGTTTTGGCATCTGTGAAGACAATTGCCTAGACCCATTATTTCATCAGGAGTTACAAAATGGTGATTTTTCTAGATCTTGTCATTCCATCTGCATTTATTAGCTGAAATGCTTCTAAACAAAGGATTCCTTCCTCACATCTTTGGTTTCTCTGAAATATAGTTTATACAAGAAAGGCAGGAAAAATGCTTAATTCTTTCCCTTTATGGGTTTTCAGAGAAACAACTTGATACCCCAGCAACTACATGATGACTCAGATTTTGATATCTTTGTGTTTCAATCCATTGCAGACAATATACTTTTTGATACTCTGAGTGTCCGTTTATCTTGGATTGGCACTTGCCGTATTAGCCAAACTATTGCATTTCCTCATCATTAATAAAACTAGAAAACGTGGGTTTGAAACACACTCTGCTATGAAACCTTGGGAAAGTTAAGTCATCTTTTCTGTCTAAATTTCCTCATCTGTGCAATGGAGATAATACCTACTGTGCTGGATCATTTGGCTTAAGTGAGATTAATTTTGTAAAATGCTTAGTTCTGTGGTTGGAAGGTAGTGGGCACTCAGAAGCCTGTATTAGGTCCTCCAGAGAAACAGAACCAGCAGGATGGGTGGATGGGTGGATGGATGTCTATGTCTGTGTATGTGTATATTTTATATATATGAGATTTATTATATAGGAATTGGCTCACATGGTTATGGAGGCTGAGTGGTCCCAGGATCTTCAGTTGGCAAGCTGGAGACCCAGGAGAGCCAGTGCTGTAAGTTCCAGTTCAAAGGCCGGAAAAGACTGATGTCCCAGCTCCAAGGCAGTCAGGCGGAGAGAGTGAATTCTCTCTTACTGCTCTTTTTTGTTCTGTTTAGGCCTTCAGTGGATTGGACAAGGCCCACCCACATTGGGGAGGGCAGTCTGCTCTACCCAGTCTAAACACCCTCACAGACACACCCAGAATAATATGACCAAATATCTGGGTACCCCAGGACCCAGTCAAGTCGACACATAAGATTAACCGTCACGGAGCCCAAATTGTTAGAGGTTTTATGTCCTCATTCCCTGGTAGCATTTCTTTTGCCTTCCCTATTCACAGTTGTTAAATTCAGTCACCAAGTTGAAATGCAGTTGTGTTTTTAATCCTCTATTCATAACAAGTCTAATTTTATCAAATTTCAGTAGCTATTGCTTTGATGGTGGGGAGCTGGCTATTTTCTAGGACTTTGGGATGAGTAATTTAAGTTCTTCATGAAACTAACAAATGGGGACAGTGGTGGGTCCAAACATCTCAGCCATGTGTAGTCTTGGATGCTGCCCCTAGTTTTTCTGCCAACTTCCCAAAGGTCAGGCTGTCTTTTTTAATTTGAATTTTCTTCTTCATCAGTATGTTGAGTGTGGCAGACTTGATAGCTTTCAGCTCTCTTTTAAGATGCTTAACTTTGTGTAGGTTTCACTTGTATAGATCAGAATTTGAATGTTTATCTGATTTCTTAGTTGATTATATCATATAGAATGCATAAAACGGTCCATTAGTTCTCATGTGGAAAGATTTTTCTCCTTAATTATAGGTTCAGTTATTTCACTTTGTTAAATGGCAATATATTTTTGTGTGGTTCAAAATTCAAAAAGAAATAAAAGTATATAGTGAAAAGTCACCATCCCATCCCTGTCCCCTAACTACCCAGCTCCCCTCCCATAGACAATCACTTTTGTTTCTGGTGTATCTGTCCAAAGATAGTTTATGCATATTCAAGCAGCTGCTGATATATATTCCTCCCCCCTTTTAGAAACAAATTGTAGTATACTATTCATATATAAATTTACTTTTTCTATGTTCTCTCAGCTCAAAAGTGTAGTCGGTCTGATGCCAGCTTCTTTTGTTCCTCAGATAGGGATCTAAATTAAAACAGAGTATAAAGTGGGACCTAGTATTTATAAACCTTTATCTTATTAGGAACGGCAGAGGGATAACGTGTCAGCTTCCATCCTGTCAGTTTTGCGGTGCAGGCCAAGGATCTCCTCGAATCCTGGGTGCCCTGGTTTGCTTGGTCCTACTCAGAGTCCAGAACTACTGGTAGCATATCAGATCTCTGGGGAGAGTGTTGGATAGTCAGCACTTTTTAATCTTATGTCATATAACAGACACGACTGAGTCGCAGGCAAGCCCCAAACATTCAGAAGCTGTGGGAGCTCCTGTCTGCCAGACTGGGCTGCCCCAGAGCAGCTGTCAGGCAGCTGTTGGGCGGGCCTGGAAAGCACGGAGAGAAAGGACAGAGGGCTGGCGCTGATTTTCCCTCCTAGACATAGTTGTGAAATTTCATCGTCAGAGGAACAAAGAGGTCGTCTTATCCCACTACCCTTTTCCTCCCAGCAGGGTCCCTTCTGCAGTATCCCCACAAGTTGTGGCTTAAGCTGGACACACATCGCCGGTGACTGATGCGCCTGCTGACGCAGCACCTTTAGTTCTGTTGAGTCTTTATCACAGTGCCTTCCTGCAGTTTGTACCCACTGATCTTCTATCTGCTTGTAGAGCTCCGTGGAGCAAGTTGAACCTCTCTTTATGTCGTAGCTCTTTAGATATTTGAAGACAGTTATCCGTCCTCCCAGTAAGTCTTTCTCTAGGTGAAACAGCCCCAGTTATATCAATTATTTTTCTTTTTTCTTTTTTTTAAGGATTCTACTTTTCCTTTTTCTCCCCAAAGCCCCCTGGTACGTAGTTGTATATTTTTACTTGTGGGTCCTTCTAGTTGTGGCATGTGGGATGCTGCCTCAGCATGGCTTGATGAGCGGTGCCATATCCGCGCCCAGGAACCAAACCCGTGAAACTGTGGGCTGCCAAAGTGGAGCGCGTGAACTTAACCACTCGGCCACGGCCCCGGCCCCTCAATTGTTTTTCATATGACATGGTATCTAATTCCTTTAGCATCCTGTTCATTCTTTGAGTCGCTCCAGTTTGCTGTATCTTACAGTGTGGGGTCTAGCACCAACCATGTAGCATTCCCAGGATGTTCTGACGGACGTATAATAGAGGAGGCCTTTTATCACCCATATCCTAAAAATTGAGCTGCTGTCACTACTGTTGATACAGTCTAGGATCAAATTAGTTCTTTTGGCAGCCACTTCACATTTTTGTCTCATAAAGAGTTTATTGTCAGCTAACAGATTATTAACATCATTATTGCCCCATGGATACTGCTAAGAGTCTTCCCCATTCTGTTTGGATAGTGTGTTGGATTCCTCCTGGGAACATCCTCTGGAGATCCCACCCTTCCTCCAGCCAATGTGGCAGTGACCAGATCTTTGTAGGTTTCAACACCTTTGCTCAGATACAATGTGATGGTACCTTTCTTTGACCTGTCTCTTGCTTCTTGGGGTTTCTCTGGTGCTGTCTAGTTTGGGATGCTGCAGAGACTTCTGACAGCAACTACCTGGAGTTGGGCTGAACCGCAAAGGTTAGGGGCACAAGACTCCCTCACTTCAGACACCAGCTGCAAATTTGGGGGCGGGGATCCCCAGACCACTCTAACTTCTGATAAGTTTGCTACAAATTTGGCAGTACCTGCTACCCTCTTAGGTTCATTAATTCATTAGAAGGACTCACAGGACTCAGGAAAGTGCTATACTTATGATTACAGTCTTTTTTTTTTTTTAATTGACACCTGAGCTAACATCTCTTGCCAGTCTTCTTTTTATTTACTTATTTTTCCTCTTCTTTTCCCCAAAGCCCCCCGGTACATAGTTGTGTACTTTTAGTTGTGGGTCCTTCTGGTTGTGCTCTGTGCAATGCTGCCTCAGCATGGCTTGATGAGTGGTGCCCTGTCTGCACTTAGGATCCAAACCAGTGAAACCCCGGGCTGCTGAAGCAGTGTGCGCGAACTTAACCGCTTGCCACAGGGCTGGCCTCACAGTTACAGTCTTATTATAGCAAAAGGATAGAAGTGAACCAGCCAAAGGGAGAGATGCATAGGGTGAGATCTAGGAGGCCCCAGATACAAAGCTTCCATTGTCTTCTTCCCATGGAGTCCGGATGCATTACCCTTCCGGTACATCAATATTTGATATATGCAGACTGTTGCCAACAAGGGGAGTGTATCTGAACTTTGATGTCCCTAGTTTTTATTGGGATTTCATTATGTAGGCATGATACCAAAACAAAGTGATTAAAAATGAGCTTTTTGGGGCTGACCCAGTGGTGCAGAGGTTAAGTTCACGCACTCCACTTTGGCGGCTTGGGGTTTGCCACTTCGGATCCTGGGCGTAGACCTACCCACTGTTTATCAAGCCGTGCTGTGGCAGGCATCCCACATAGAAAGTAGAGGAAGATTGGCATGGATGTTAGCTCAGGACCAGTCTTCCTCAAAAAATAAATAAATAAAAAAGAGCCTTTTTCTTTCTATATTCTTGTTATTGTTCACCTGGTGAAGGGCTGTGATGCTTCTGAAAAAGATAGGCTAGTTGGGTGTACAACAGGCCTCCTAACTCCAGAGATCACGTATCCTTCCATATTGATTACTTTCAGTGAAACGACGCATGTAAGCAGGGAGAAGCTGTAAGCACATAGAAACAGCAGCCGTTCCAGGTTTGGGTTACTAACATGCTTGTGATTTCTTGCCAGGTCTGATTTTTGTGGTTGACAGTAATGACAGAGAGCGGGTCAATGAGGCCCGAGAAGAGCTAACCAGAATGTTAGCAGAAGATGAGCTCAGAGATGCAGTTTTATTGGTGTTTGTAAATAAACAGGTATGTTCCTGGCTTTCTGAATACTGGAACTGCAATTTACTGTCAGATGCTCACTTGAAACTAGAGATATTTAAATTAGATGTTTGCCTTCCTCTCTCCAGCCCCTACCATACCCTTTCCTCTACCTTTTTAGCCTTTGTCTAATATTGATCCATTCACTGACTCGACAAGTATTAATTGAGCATCTACTAAGATCCAGGCATTGTTTTAGCTATTGTTGATACAGCAGTGAACAAGGCAACAAAAGTCCCTGCGTTTGTGGAGTTTACATTCCAGTGGGAGGAGAGTCAGTCAATAAATAATATATGTCTGGTGGAAGTGTTGTGGAGGAAGGTAAAGCAAAGGAAGGGGGCAGGATGGATGTGGGGAAGGGCCGGAATGCCTCTCTGATAAGATGACCTCTGAGTGGAGACCTGAAGGCCAGCGGGAAGGGAGCTACGTTGGGTCTGGAACAGCAAAGCAGCCAGTGCAGCTGGAATAGAGTGGGGGGTGGCAAGGGGATAGATAATGTATCATATGGAGCCTCTCATCCAGGAGGAAAAAAGGCTTCTAGGTCAATGTAACGTAAAGCAGTAACAGAAGAGTGGGAGGAGCGCCGAGGGTAGAAGGTCAGCCTCGGGAATTGAAGCTGGAGTAAGTGTGGGAAGGAAGGTAGAGTCACGTGGAGTGTACTTGTCCGAGATAACCAGGCTACATTTTGATGTGTTTCCTTTTACCTTCACATGAATACATTTGTTTTGTCATTGAGATCATATTGGTTTGACGGTGTTGCATCCAGTTTTGGCACTTCAGATTTATCAAAAGTATTTTCTCTTATCATCCAGCTCTCTGTAAACATGATTTTAAATGGTGGATGGGTCACCACTCACTCAACCGTTACCCTGCTGTTGGGTTCCATGACAGTTCAGAATTTCACTAGTAATCATAACAGACTTTCAAAAAAAAATAACAGATTTGTTCTAATTATAAAAGCAGAACATGCTCATGGTATAAATATGCAAATAGTTCAAACTATCACGTGAAATATTCTACTCTCACTCCTCAGGGTGAAACACTGTTAAATATTTTGCATCTCTTTCTAGAGAGAGTGCTTTCTCTGCCTCTGTCAGCAGTTATGTGATTGTTTCATATTTACATTCTGGAGATCATAGTCTGCCTTCTGTTTTGCAATCTGCTTTTTCACTTAGCGTCTTAGGTGTCCTTCTATATCATTGTATTTGGAGCTACCTTGTTCTTTCATCCTGACTTATTCAAATTCCGTTTGCACTTGCTGTGTGCCCAGCACAGTTCTTGGCGTGCGGGATGTATCAGAGGACAGGATAGACAGAGATTCCTGCCCTTGTACAGCTTGCATTTTAGTTAGAGGAGATGGAAAATAAATAACATACTAAATAAATAAATGTTGTAATATAATAGCATGTGGTGGGTGCTGTATTTAAGAAGATTAAGCAGGACAATGAGGAAAGGTCAGGGCCTCGGGTCGTGAGGGCCGTGCAGACCACCATGAGGACTCTGGCTCTCATGGTGAGAGAGACGGAGCTGCTGCAGGGTTTTGATGGAAGATCTGACTTTCACCGACTGCAGGGAGCAGGAGCAGAAGCAGAGACCAATTAGGAAGTTATTTCAGTAACCCAAGTGAGAAATGATGGTGGTGGGATCAGGGTATAGCTGTGAAGGTCGTGAGAGGTGGTCAGCTTCTGAATATATTTAGAGATTAGAGCCAGTAGGATTTCCTAATGTGGAGTTGAGAGAGAGAGAAAATTAAGGATGGTTTCAGGGTTTAGCCCGAGCAGCTGTAAGGCTGGAGTTGCCATCAGCTGAGAGAAGACTGTGGGTCAGGGCAGGTTTGGGGGAAGAGCATAATAGTTCATTATGTGGATGCAACATTATAAACTGACTCTTGAATGTTCTCTTTCAAGGATCTTCCCAATGCTATGAATGCGGCAGAGATAACAGACAAGCTGGGCTTGCATTCCCTCCGCCAGAGAAACTGGTACATTCAGGCTACTTGTGCCACCAGTGGAGATGGGCTTTACGAAGGCCTGGACTGGCTCTCCAACCAGCTCAAAAACCAGAAGTGATCGGAAGCGACCCGTTCCCTGTGCAGCGTGGCGAAATGAGCTGGCCTCTTGTGTGCATGTGTGCGTGTGGGGAGTCAAGCGTGGCTGTGTGGCTGCGAGTGGGAGCAGCTTTCTCACACCGTGCCTTAGACGCGCTGTCAGAAAACCAGTCTTACATTTTCAGAAAAACCAGTGTTACATTTTAAGTGCTACCTTCCATTTCAATAGCTTTGATGATCGGTTTTGCAGTTGATGGAGGAGTCCGGAGGGCTCACTAGTGCTCCGTAGCTGGAGTGGTCTTCATGGTGGCAAGGAGGAGGACAGTTGGCACGTGGACTGCGTTCATTTGTGCCGTCCTGGATGTGGTGTCTCTACACAGCTGGGGTCCTGTTAGACTTTGGTGTCCTTTTGTGAAAAAGGAAGGAGCTGTCGTTCTTTCCCGTCACTGCCAGAGCTAGCAGCTCACTTTTCAGTGCTTTGAGGCAAATGATCCTCAAGAGAAAAAGGCACTTGCTTGCCACAGGTTTGAAGTTCAGATTTGAACTTTTCCCTTAAATTGTGTCTAGCCTGGACTTCCTGGTTTAATGTGCTTTATTTAAAGGAAGCATGTATCTTTTTTGTTAGAGTATCAAGAGTCCATAACACTAGAGAATTATCCAGTCTTTCCCTTAGAGTTCCTGCCCTGATTTGCCACATGGAGACCATTTGGGGTGGTGAACCAGCGTGAGAATGAGGCTCTTTGCTGGGGCCATGCGGTCAAGCGAAGGGCTGGGCTGAGGACGTGAGGTGGCGTTGTGTTTGTGTCCTCCATCACCGTCTCAGGTGAGGCCCCTGAGACTGCTGCTCCCACTCCTCTGCTCTGTGCTGGGTGTTCTGCCCGCGAAGCAGGAGGGTCACTCCTGGATGGGATCCTCGCTGTGTCCAGTCTCTTGGTCCAGCTTTGGTTTGGGTCAGTGTCTGTTCCCAGAGCCACGCGCCGGTGAATTCTGAGAGTTTGTGAGAGAATCAAGAAGTTCATTTTGGAGACAAAATTCCCAGCAACCCCTGGTGTTGCCCTGAGTTGGTGCTAAATTCTGCTATGAAAGATGTCTAGCCGGCTCTCTGTGGCGCTGACTCCCTTCTGGATGGCAATAATGTCTTCTGTGGAAATGTACTTTTTTTGTCCTCAAAATATTAATAAAAGTGGCCTGGAAATGAGCTCAGTTCACTCAGTCGTCTAGAGCTCTTTTGTGCAGACGGCTGTTGGCCAAATTTGTACCTAAGCGCTTCCATTACTTTACCTTTTGAAATTCCATTTTCAAAAAATCTTTAATCAAATTACACAGGAGGGGAACGTAAGGTGAATTGTGCCAAAATTAAACTTTGTTTATTGATAACAATGAAGTTGCTGTTACTAGGAAGAAATTTCATACCATGATAACTGTGGGGTATAATGTTTTTCTTAAAATACTGACCTTAAAGAATGTTCATTGCAATACTGGCAGTTAAGTCCAGATTTGATTTTTAACCATGGGGTAATTCCTGAGAAATGTGTAGACTGTGTGCCTCCAGTTGGCAGGGGCTGTGTCTTCCACCTTTGTGTTTGTGCTCAGTACAGTGTACCTAAGCCTGGTGCTAGGCCTCGTGAAACACGTGTTGGTTGGCTGGACAATAAAGAGCTTGCTCTGGAAGGTGGAGAGGACAGCCGTGTGCTTCCGAATGTCTTGAACTACTTTAAAACCCCACCCCCCCCATCCCAGCACACCGCCCACTGAAGGCTCCCAGGGCGCCTGTACAAAGACAGCCACAGAGGTGCTGTCCTCCTTGTACTTTTCACGACACTTTGAGCTACACTCTTTCTTTCTCTCTGGTTTTGGAGCTGGGGAGTTGGGGTAAGTGAGGGCACTTCCGTGTAGTGTCGTTGGGCAAAGACGTGGGTCCCTGGAGGCCATGTTCACATCCCACCAGTGTCCCTTACTAGCTGCTGGCCTCAGGCCTGTTACTTTTAGCCTCTAGTCTCGGTTTGCTTGACTGTTAAATGGGGATAATACCACCAACCTTGTAGGGCTGTGAGGATTAAGTGTGTCAGACCTTTGAACACCTCGCTCTGGTGGGTCCCTGGAGATAGGTGATGTCCAAATATGAGCAGCGGTGCTGGCCACAAACTGTCGGCACTGTTTATAGAAGTGAAGTGGGATGGGGTGGGGCTAGGTTTCATTCTCCTGCTCTGGTCACCTTCTCATCCCACTGGATGCTCTCTCCCTTTCTAACCATGATAGATGCTAATAAGCCCAGCCGGGATGCTCTGTTAAAAAAGCACACTGCTGTGTATCACCCTCACCCTTTTTTTCTTTATTTTTAAATTCTGTGACTTTTGGTATATTCACAGAGTTGTGCAGCCACCACTGGACTAAACTATTAGACTATTTTCCTCACCCCCAGAGAAACCCTGGATCCCATTAGCATCCATTCCCCGTTTCTCCCTTCCCCATGCCCCCTGGCAAGCACTAATCTACTTTCTGTTTCTGTGGATTTGCCTCTTCTGGGCAGGTGTGGCCTGGGGAGCTGGGGGTGCTTTAGGGAGCGCTTAGGTGCTGTTGGTCTGACCGCAGCACCAGGCCTGAGGCGTCAGCCTGATTACGGATGAGGCGGAGTGGAGCCCCCAGGGAGAAGACTGCCCCCCAGAGTTAGGCAGCTGTGGAATTTCTTACCTTGAGAGGAAAGGTGGTACTAATAATTAATGCAGGGACCCAGAGCCTAAAGTGTGGTGTGTGGTCACCCTGTCAAAGTGGCAGGAGTCTGAACTCGGAATCAAAGGCCAAGGCTGAAATCAGAGCCCCGCCCATTCGCCAGCTGGATTCAGTGGGACTCCTTTTCCTTACCTGGAGGGAGTTCCCCTGCTCACCTGCATTCAGCTCTGTGTAAATACCAAGAACATGTGGGTGATGTGGGGGCTCCATGAGTCAACTCCATATATTGTGGATCATGTCGTTTGATCTGTTTGAAATAACGCCTTGAGGCTGAGAACGTTTCCCTGAGTTGCTCTGGACAGGAGGACTTATACTCCTGTCGAGGGAGGGTTCGAGTGAAGTGAAGTCTGGCACCCAGAAGCGACCTGAGTCCTTGGTCCACAGGTGTCTGCAGACAGTACACAGAAAGCCTGACGATATGCTCTGGAGACGCGTTTTTCTTTGGAAGTGTTCAGTATTTTTTTCACCCTTTTGGTAGCAGCTTCATTGAGCTGTAATTCGCATACCATACAGTTCACCCATTTAAAAGTGTACAGTTCACTGTGTTTAGTATCTTCACAGTTTTGTGCAACCATCACCACAGTCAATTTTGGAACGTTTTTATCACTCTGAAAAGAAACCCTGTACCCCTTAGCAGTCACTCTGCTATCCCCAGCGCTGGGCCACCACTCACCGCTGATCCTCTTTCTGACTGTAGAGTTGGTGGGGACACCTTAAACTTTGCTTTTTCACCACTCTGGTCTCCGAGGAGCACCACCCAAGTTTTCTCCTGTTTTGATTTTCATTCCTTCACTGGAATGCATGGCTCGGGAAGCCTCTAGGAGGGTGCTGTGGCCACACGCAAACATTGGATGGACCACTGAACGGTGACTCTATGGTGTCCTTTGGCCAGTAAATAGCTTGCTGCTGCTCATCACCACTAGGTGGTGCTGCTCCTCCATCCCACTGACCTACCTGCAGCCCCGGCAGGGCTGGGCCATGGGGGTTCCCAAGTATAAGAGAATCCATCTTCTTGCCTGTACTCTGAGTGACCCAAAAACAGAGACCACAGCCAGGGATATGCCTGGAAGAGAAAGGCAAAATAGGCACCTAGAGCAGAGGACTTATGGGTGCCAATAGTAACAGAGGTATCAGTGTCAGCAGTGGTAATCGGACTCGTAAAGCAGTAACTGTAAAGCAGTAAATGGCCACTATTGGGCATACTGGATACCGCTTGAGCTCTCTAATCTTCACGCTCAGCAAGGCAGGTGTATTACTTCTGCTTTGCAAAGGGGGAAACCAAGGTTCAGGAAGATAAAATAACTTGCTGGAGGCCACATGGCCATGATCCAGATGCAGCTCTGGGGCACCAGGGCCCCTATGCTTCCAGCACACACTGCTGCCTTGGGCTCTGGGCCAAAGACCTGACACGGGCCTCGAGAGTTGGGCAGACAGGGAGGGAAGGAAGCCAAAGTGCCCAGTGGAGACCTCTGGGGAGGGCCCAGTGCGCGGGGACAGAGCAGCATGCGCAGAGCCGTGTCAGCTGACATGCAAGGGGGAATAGGGGCGCGGGGGAGGCCGGGGCAGGGAGGTGCGCTATTAGGCCAGGGGAGGTCACGGCCAAGGGAGACCCGGGCTACCCTGGACGCTGATAATGTCCTTTGGGAAGCAAAGACGGTAATCACGGTTTTCTAAAACTGGATTGTGGTGATGGTTGCACAACTGTATAAATTGACTAAGAACCATCATATTGTTGGCTCACAATGGGTGAACTATGGCATATAAATATTATCTCAGTAAAGCTGTATGAAGTTTATAATCATGAAACCAACAGCCATGAGGGTGCTGAGTCACTAGGTCTCAGCAGTGCTGTAGGCACTTTGAGAAGAGAGGTGAGTAGCATCTCACAGTAGAAAGCCTGACCGATGGCTGTCCAGCCTTTGCTTGAATGCTTTCAGTGCCAGGGAACTCGGTACCTCATAAACCAGCCCATTCGAGTTTGAGATAACTCTCTAATCCTAGAAAGTTGAAATCTATCACTCGTCCTTATCCTGCTGTGCAGAATAAACCTCTTTGCTTTGCCATGTGACATCTCTTTCAGCACTTGAGGTCAATCATTGCATTCCCCCCAAGTCACTTTTATCCCATGCAGAAATCCCCATGGTTTTCATATGACAAGATTTCCAGCCTCTCCCATTCTCCTGGTGCTCTCTACCATACTTGCTCTTATCTGTCAGCATCCTTCTTAAAATGTGGGGGCCCGATATTCTGAGATGTCAGCCCAGAGCCATGGTTAACGGTTTGGATCCTAGAATTAAAGCTCTCTGGGTTCAAATCCACACTCTACCACAGCCCAGCTGTGTGACCATAGTTAAAAATACCAACCTCTGTGAGCCTCACTTCTCCATCTGAGTTATTGTAAGGATTGTGCTGACCCTCACCTTTCTGAGGGGTTCTGCTCTCCAGCCCCTTTAGGTGGGCTTGGCCTGGCTTGGTGATGGCTAGGGCGAGGGAGAGCCATCCAAAATAGCAAGCTGTGACAACTGCCAATCAGCCCAGTGCATATGAACCACTGGAGAAGGGACTCCGCCCTCTGCCCACCAGGCTTTCCTCCCATGGAGCTTTGGTCCTTCCGAGAGGGGATGAGACAATGGGAGGTGGGGCAGAAACTTCTGCTGCTGTGCTGTCTCGGATGCCCAAGAAATTACTCCTTTCTTTCTCTTTCCTCAACAATTTCATTTGAAAAATTTCAAACACACAAAGTTGAAAGCAGTATTTGGCAAATCGTCACCTAGACACAACAATGGTTCACGTTGCCCCATTGGCTCCGTAGGTCTCTATTTAGACATACTTCTTTTGCTGATTCATTGGAAAATAACAGGCAGACACCATGACCCTTCACCCCTAAGAATTTCAGCACAGATCTCCTAAGCACGAGGACGTTCTAGACATAAACACAAGGTTATTTTCACCCCAAGAAGATCTGTGCTAATTTCTTAATATGTAATTTCCAGTTCATATTGAAATATCCTCAATTGTCTCCCAGTTGCCTTTTGTAGCAGTTTTTTTTTTTCCCAAACCAGGATCCAATCAAGTTTTCCCCATTACGTTTGTTTGTTTCTTTAATCTGTTTTAATCTACAGCAGTCTGTCCACCTGTTTTTTTTTGCCTGGCTTTTTTTCAGGGGAGTCTCCTCTTAATGTCCCCCTCTGTCCACTGCACAAACCTCTCCCCAAACTACCCCCAAGGCGGGCGAACAGGCCACATACTGCTCCACCCCGAATTACTGTCATTCCAGGCCTTTCTCGTTACAATCTGTTTACTTGAGGAAGCGGCTCCCCCACAGGGCCAACCTCGGGTGTCTACACAGCCCAGCCTTAGCCAGGTCTAGGGCTCCAGTCAGTTGAAATCTAACTTGGTTCTCTGCTCACCTCCCTCTGGGGTTCCCGGGAGTGTAAACGCCCTGCAGCTTCTCCCACCAACCTGTTCATCTCTTCTGACGTTGCCCTCAAGTCACCGACTCCACACACTATACTTCCACTAACTAAAGCTTACAGACAAAACAGACCTTTCCCCCTTCCAGAAAGATGGACATCCTTTTTGATCAAAACTGCACACAGTATGAAGAAATCATTCAGGTACACACAGCACAGTACTGGCATACAGCAAGCACTCAATAAATACAGGCTGTTGTAGCTGGGGCAGTGCACATGGGAACATTTCTCTCCTTCATCCTTCTATGGAGACTAAGGTGGCAGCTGTGCTTTGGCAGCCACTTCATGCTAATGAAGCACCTGAGCTTCTGATCATGTCAGACCTGCAGATCTCCTTTACGTGAAATGCCGTGAGGCCACCTCCCTCTTTTACATTTGTGCAGATGCTTTTAGCAGCCCAGTGAATGACATTTGTCCTTTTTCATTTCGTCTGGGCTCTGGCCCTTCATCCCAACCGGTTGCTTCATTTCGA